TTAAGAATGCTTATGTGTGCGCTTGTGTTTCATGGACACTTGCAGAGGCTAAGTCACGCAGATTTGGATTTTATGAGTAGTATCAGCTCCCTCATGGTTTTATGTGAGCTTCGCTGCGCACGAGTACCAACTAACACAAAACCTAGGTTTGCTCTTGACTGCTTTTAATTATTTCATACCAAACTCAGCTCACACGATATCAATTCACTTAGATTATTGACCACATTGCAACTTGATTGATAGAATTCAATGAGCAAAAATGACTAGACCAATATGACATTAATTACTACTCAGCAATTCAAATCGCTACTTATTATTTGAAAGCTGCTTATATATTAAGCTTTATTGGCGGGACTATAATTTATGGTCGAACCAATCGGATTTAGGATAACAGGTCTTGGGTTTTGGCGCGAAATTGATTCACCCGTTCCTTGAGCTGTATGATTTAATTGCAAAAATTTCAAGTGAAGTTGCTTATTTCATTGAGCGTGAGAGTACCGGGTTATTCAATGAGACTATCCAGCATCATCACTATATTCTTTTTTGAGTGGATAGTTTCTATTAGTGAGTTCTTCATAACGCAAGAGTTTCAACAAAAACCTCTCATCATTAATACTACTTCATTTAATTGTGATTAGTTATTAGTAGTATTTCTTTTCTACAGTGGAATTGTGTATAATGTGATTAGTTTCACTTGAATACCATTAAAATAAAATAATCAGATTCGAATCCTGGAGTGAACAACTCAACTCTGTGATTCAGGTACATCCAACTGTTCAGCTCCAAATAAGACGAAACATGCATCTTGGCTTCTACTTCAAGCCACCATCTATCATCTTTGCTCATAAATTTATTTATTTATTTATTTTAACACATAGATATTGGTACAAGGAGGCACCAAATACATATGCGCCACACAAATCTCATTCGATATCTGTGAGGGCTATGAAACTGCCCGGTTGCCCAAACCGAAGGTGGTGGTTTTCTTAGGGGGCCATGTGAGAGTATTTCGAGAGGGAGAGCGGACTCTTTTCACTCTCGGCCGTACAAGGGCATTTGGGGTTTATAAAGTATATAAACGTTTCTTTTAAAGTTTCAATAATGTGGTTGTCTTTGATCGTTGAATGATCCAAACAACTTTAAATATCAGTAATCATTTTAGATTTCAAGTGTTTTCATTGTGTGGTATCTAACGTCTTTTCATTATAACCTGTAATAGGGAAATTAGTTTAATTATGTGTAATTAACTGAACTATAATGATGATTATGTCATAAACGACTTATTCGAATAGTATGTTAAGCTAGCTCTCTTTTTTTCGTTGTTGTTGTTGTTGTTGCTTAAGAGCATATTGGAACTCCGCCTGTACTCCCTCCGGGGGCTACTGCCGGTCCCAAGCCCGGATAAAGGGGGAGGCTTGGGCATGGGGTTAGCGTCCCCATCCCGTAGAAAACTAACTCGCTAAAAAAACGCTAACCAGAAAAAATTATTCAAACCTTTTAAACTCTGCCCTGGGAGTCAGAAGATATTCATTTAGAAGAATTATGACGCCTCATGATGAAAGCCGAAACCCTTCGGAAGTTACGAGGCCGATGCCTCTTCTGACAACCAGAGCGACCATTTATTTAGGTACATGGAATGTTCGTACAATGTGGGACACCGGAAGAGCCCTCCAGATTGCTGCAGAAATGAGAAGATACAACCTAGAGGTACTTAGGATCAGTGAAACACATTGGACACAAGTTGGACAACAACGACTAACTACAAGAGAGCTTCTGTTATACTCCGGCCATGAAGAATAAAATGCACCACATACACAAGGATTTGCATTGATGCCGTCTAAACAAGCACAAAATGCGCTTATAGGATGGGAATCTCATGGACCAACGATCATCAAAGCCTCATTCAAAACAAAGAAAGTCGGCATTTCAATGAACATCATCCAATGCTATGCGCCTACCAACGACCACAATGAAGACGCTCAAGATCGATTCTACAATAGGCTGCAGTCAATCATCGAGAAGTGCCCAACAAAGGACCTGACCATTCTGATGGGAGATTTCAACGCCAAGGTTGGAACGGACAACACTGGATATGAAGACATCATGGGACGACACGGACTGGGAGAAAGGAACGAAAATGGTGAGGGATTTGCAAATCTATGTGCCTTCAATAAACTGGTCATAGGCGGCACCATATTCCCACATAAACGCATACACAAAACCACATGGACTTCACCGGATCACTCTACACAAAACCAAATCGACCATATCCGCATCAACAAAACGTTCAGAAGGACTATAGAGGACGTGAGAACCAAGAGAGGAGCTGATATAGCATCAGATCATCACTTACTGGTCGCCAAGATGAAATTGAAACTCAAGAAGCACTGGACAATGGGGCAGACAGTATTACAAAAGTTCAATACGGCCTTTCTCCAGGATACTAACAAACTTAACGAATTCAAGATAGTCCTCAGCAAAAGATTCCAGGCCTTTCATGATCTACTCAATGGAGAAGAAACTACTGTGGAGAGCAACTGGAAGGGGATCAAATAGGCGATCACTTCAACATGTCATGAGGTCCTGGGTCACAAGAAGCACCACCACAAGGAATGGATCACTGTTGGTACACTGGATAAGATTCAAGAAAGAAGAAACAAGAAGGCAGCGACCAATACCAGCCAAACAAGAGCAGAAAAAGCCAAGGCACAAGCTGAATACACGGAAATAAACAAACAAGTGAAGAGGAGCATCAGAACCGATAAACGTAAATATGTGGAAGATTTAACAACGACAGCGGAAAAGGCTGCAAGAGAAGGAAACATGAGACAGTTGTATGACACGACAAAGAAACTCTCTGGAAATCGCCACAAACCAGAACGACCAGTGAAAAGCAAGGAAGGCAAGGTAATCACCAACATTGAAGAGCAACAAAACAGGTGGGTAGAACACTTCAAAGAACTGTTGAATCGACCAGCTCCACTGAACCCACCCAACATCGAAGCAGCACCCACGGACAACCCAATCAATGTTGGCCCACCAACAATTGAAGAAATCAGCATGGCCATCAGACAAATCAAGAGTGGCAAAGCAGCAGGACCGGACAACATCCCAGCAGAGGCACTAAAAGCAGACGTAGCGGCAACTGCACGGATACTCCACATTCTCTTCAATAAGATTTGGGATGGAGAACAAGTACCAACAGACTGGAAAGAAGGACTACTGATCAAAATACCGAAGAAAGGTGATCTCAGCAAGTGTGATAACTACAGGGGCATCACTCTTCTCTCAATACCGGGCAAAGTCTTCAACAGTGTATTGTTAAACAGGATGAAAGACTGCGTAGACGCCCAACTTCGTCACCAACAGGCAGGATTCCGTAAGGATAGATCGTGAACAGATCAAATAGCAACTCTACGGATCATTGTGGAACAATCAATTGAATGGAATTCATCACTCTACATCAACTTCATTGACTACGAAAAGGCATTTGATAGCGTGGACAGAACAACACTATGGAAACTTCTTCGACACTACGGCGTGCCTCAGAAGATAGTCAATATCATACAGAATTCATATGATGGATTACACTGCAAAATCGTGCATGGAGGACAGTTGACAAAGTCGTTCAAAGTGAAGACCGGTGTTAGGCAAGGTTGCTTACTCTCACCCTTTCTCTTTCTCCTGGTGATCGACTGGATCATGAAAACGTCAACGTCCGAAGGAAAGCGCGGGATACAATGGACATCTAAGATGCAGTAGGATGATCTAGACTTCGCAGACGATCTGGCCCTTCTATCTCAAACGCAACAACAGATGCAGGAGAAGACGAACAGTGTGGCAGCAGCCTCAGCAGCAATAGGCCTCAATATACACAAAGGTAAAAGCCAGGTTCTCCGATACAACGCAGCATTCACCAATCCAATCACAATTGACGGAGAAGATTTGGAAGATGTAAAAACCTTTACGTATTTGGGCAGCATCATTGATGAACAGGGTGGATCTGATGCAGATGTGAAGGCGCGGATCGGCAAAGCATAACAGCATATTTACAACTGAGGAACATCTGGAACTCAAAGCAACTGTCAACCAACACCAAGGTCAGGATTTTCAATACAAATGTCAAGACAGTTCTACTGTATGGGGCGGAAACCTGGAGAACTACAAAAGCCATCATCCAGAAAATACAGGTGTTTATTAACAATTGTCTACGCAAAATACTTCAGATCCATTGGCCGGACACTATTAGCAACAACGTACTGTGGGAGAGAAAAAACCAGATCCCAGTGGAGGAAGAAATCAGGAAGAAGCGCTGGAAGTGGATAGGACACACATTGAGGAATGCACCATTGATACTATTACTACCTTTAATATTCTGATATTTATCTTGATAATTCCACATCACTGTGTTGATATAATGCGGCAAATCGAACTTATGTATATATATACCTTCACACTAACATTGGTACAGGAAGGCACCAAATATATATATGCGCCGCACAAATCATTCGATTTGTATGAGGGCTGGAATACTACTCAGGTGCCCAAACCGAAGCAGGTGGTTTTATTAGTGGGCCACTTCTCAAGCCTCTGACCTACACGTTTGATCCACAAGGCAGTGGAGCGAAATCAAAAGATACAGTCCCATAGTAGCCAGTGGCCGACAAAAGGTTTATACGCCATTCGTCCCTTCAGGATCCTGGTGCCCATGTGCACCTTTGGTTTGGAATAGTGATTTTCCAACTTGTAGTTGGATCCTCCATAAGCGTCGGACATTCACTTTTCGTCCTCTCAATTTTGTAAACAACACCCCTGTCACGAAAAGGTAGTGAGTAGGTTTTCCCTGGTAGTAGTTGTATTTCGAAGCGAAGTGCACAAATTAGTCACATTGTAACTGAGTTAATAACAATATAGTAACTTACGTTTACTTACATTTTTCAAATAAAAATTTCCATTTCATTATTTTTTTATCTCTTTCTCTGTATCTATGTTCTGTGCAGAGTTCTGATTCAAACAGTGATTCGTCATGTACAAGTTCTACACCAGGTTCACCATTTGTCACCGGTACATCATCAATTAGTACAACATTAGCTGCATCATGTTGTACTCGTTTAGACAGTGGTTATGTTGGTGTTGGTAGTAATAGTATTAGTGTTAGTTGCAGTACTACCGGTCAAATGATTTCATTTTCTTCTCCTCCATTACGAAATTTAAGCAACAGTGGTGGTTGTATGTTTAATCATTCTAATCCAAGTCATTTATCTTCACCAGTTAGTATACATTCTTACGGAACTGTTAATGCTGGAATTGTAACTAATACACAACAACAACAACAACAGCCTCATTCTCCTCGACATTCCGGCCAATGTTTTAATCACTTTGAATTTCCAAGTAAGTATTTTCGTATAAATTCATATTTAGTATATACATTTTATCGTTATCTTTTTTTGTGTAGTCATTATCATGTCTTGTCAATTATACGCATATCTCCTGCTGTAAAATTCAATTGTAGATCAATTGACGATATTACTCGATTTGATGATAGATATATAAATATTACTTTTTTACACCTGTTACCCATCGTGGAAAAATAGGCCACCAACCAACATTCGTCAACCAACTCTGTTCTGGACTCTGCCTATGTGTATATAATTCCTTCTTCTACTCAATAATATGCGTTTTTACGTAGATGAACACTTCATTTACAGCTACCACTTCATTAAATTTCGTTGGAAAATCACCAGTCACATACGGTATTTTGTGCTGAGACAAATTGAATACAATGATACTTGGTCTACCAGTGTTTTTTTAAATAATCGGTTCCATGTCTAGTCTTAGATAAATAAGTAGTATCGTGTTCAATTTTCCCCTTATGTCTAATAAAATCGGCTATCTAAACCAACAGGTCGAAGACGTAGTTAAAATATGTGGTAGCAAATATTAAGGAGAGGTGACCGTCAACCCCCCCCGGGAGCGTTTATGCTTATGTATATGTCATAAAGTGCAAGAGTGAAAGTCTTTTTACAAGTGGTACACATGTAATGTGTAAAAGAAATCCACTTGTAACAAATTCGTTCGAAGGGAGTGGAAACCATCTGTCCTATGTACTCTATGGGATACATAAGTGAAAACCTATATGTTACCGATGTGCATGTGACGTGTACTTGCCCCTAGTACTGGTCGCGCGCTAAGACCAGGGCTGCTGCTTTCCCCACAAAATCACATCCTCGGGGTGAGCCTTGAAAAACGGAAACTTTTCAGAAAAGCCAGTGGACTTCAATAGATAAAGCTTTACGAACCTTGAACGGCTGAGCACCACATACCATGTTCAATCTTCAGGTAAGAAAGTATTTCTCGCTCTTTTAAGTAGTTTGATAAGTGTCAGGCAACCAAAAACAACATGTTACCTGGAACGAATTTGTGTTGACTAAGTCGCTACACACAATTTCAGCATAGGGAAAAGGGAAGTTAAAAAGATATTGAGCGAACTGATTTGGAATAATCATTGTACTAATGAGTAGTGCAAAATAATATCGTTCGATGATGAATTTATGGAATAAAAAAGTACAAAACATTATTTAAGTCCAAAGTTCTAGAGGCAGATATTTAATAAGTAGTATACCATCCGTTTTCCAATGTTCAGTAAGTGTGCGACGTGTAGCATTTTCGTGGATCTTTCTGTTCACTTATTGAGTGTGGGCTACGCGTAAATATATGGTTCTCATTAACGCTTTCGTTACGAACTCTAGCTTTCGCTGGTTTTCGGAGTTTTTCATCTATCAGTCTGAACTGCACTACACTGCTGCGTTCATAGTTGACGGATTCGAATAACTTAAGATTCTTAAGGTGAAATCTTCAGTAAAAGTTACGTTTACATACAGTACATAACTACTAAATTGACGGAAAGGTGGGCGAAAATACTGGACACCACATACTGAACGTCGAACAATATGTGGATGACCCCACTCCATGTATCCGAGACAATCTAACCAATTTTTAGGATCGTAATGAGTTGTCTGACCTATAAGTCTGATCCACAAGACAGTGGAGCAACGCCAGAAGATTATTTTGTTAAAATGAGCTCAAATATACATTAACCAAATTTTCGAATAAATGACTATCGAAAGTAAATAATAGTTTGCTCTAAGATAGAAAATGACATCGTCCATAAAATCGTTGGAAAACGTTATGAGCTACATAAAAAACCCCTGTTATGTACATTTAAGTTTCATTACTGCAAATATTTTAAGCGACAGATTTGATAGTCCATTGATTACTTTTTGGTTTATAAGATGCATAAAAGTTTCTAGGTCATTAGTAGCGCTTTCCAATCGTGTCTCCAATGTCGTGGATCAGCTTTTTTAACCTTAGGAATATTCAGTGTAAGTATGCTGCAGGGCTCGACCTTAGCTCCTACTTTGATGTGATGTCAGGCTTGTGTGTTGTGATGACTCCAACGAGCTCAATTGGCCGAAACCTGTGTTATTTTAGGTCCTATCATGCTAGACAGGTCGGTTGGAGAATGGTAAATCTGAAAGCAGCACTTTGAAGCCCGAGGTCGAAGTCTTACTGTGGGCTGTCGATAGGTGTGCCAGCATTAAAGTATTTCTCTCGACCAACCAATGTCCGCAGCGATGCTGTCTTCTCATCAGAGAGTTAAGGAAGGTGGACCCTTGAAGCCACACTTCACCCTACTACGGCATTAAGGCTTTTTAAAATGCGGAACCAACGCATAAAAATTCCCATAATCAGGTTTTTAGACCAGTATCAAGCAGTTGTCTCTTGGTCTCTGCGGTCACACTCCCAGTTCAATAATGTCACTTCCAGTCCAGTTTCTTTTTCAGGTCCGCAAAGGAGAAATATTTTTTCACTGTATGGTCAACCGGGAAGTGACAACCGCTCTCAGAAATGCAACAACACCCGAGATCACCATGCTACAGGGCTGAGGATTCCAAGCTGATGCTTGGATTTTGATAGAGCTTTATGATTTCCCAAATGTATATCCCATCTACCTCCAGCGTGCTTTTGCTAATTTCCTTTTCAGCTAATAGTTGGTTTATTCTCTGGGACAAGGATTAATTAGCTTCTATAGTTTATCAGCTTTAAATATTCTATGGGAAATTGTAAACTACCGAAATCTTGTCCACTGATAATTCATCTTAATGTTAGATTTTCTAGTGTAATTGTCTCCGTGGTGTATGCTACTTATGTCGATAGACACAAAACAGTATGTGACACTAATCTGAAGTGGAATGCCTGGCAGCAGAATATCGAAAAGATCGAATTGAAGAGAACAAGGATGCAAGTAGCAGTTAATTAGAACTGTTCTTTCGTATAGTACTTATTTTTCACTGGTTGAAATCTTGAGTCAATTGAAGCTAGACCATCATCGAAAACCTGGAAGTACTAGACAACCGTTTCGTCCTAGTACGGGACTCCTCAGCAGTGCGCATCCACGGTGCCACCCTCCGCGAGATCCGAACTCAGGACCTGTTAGTCTCGCGCGCGAGCGCTTAACCATTAGACCACTGAGCCGGCATCCAACAGTGTTAATATCTAAGTTCAACCAATCCACGAAGTTGCACCACCGTACATTTGGATACATTCAAATGTTTCAGGATTGTTGTTTACTTGTATTATTTCTAATCATAACGTGTTTACAATAATGTCATGAATAATATTTGTATTGTATTTCTATTATATTAAAGGTGTCAGTCATCCAATCATAGATAATCAATTAGTAGACGGGAATTTCAATAATAATGTGAATAATAATAGTCCTTTAATTACGTAAGTGTTGGGTTACCGCTTCACATTACCAATAGATCGGTTTTATCACGTACTTATAATTATAAGTTTATATGTCAATCTTCACTTAATAGAACTTAATGTAGCTTATCTTCAAGCCAGTTTGCTTCCCTGAAACCAACAGCCTAATATATAAATAATTCAACATAATCTAACCTGAGGTTATGCTCTGTGACATTGTTCATGTATTTGGCAGTTTGACAGTTTATGTATATCCATTGATAATGCTAAACAGTAATAAGCTTTCACATTACTTAACCCTAACATTCTGCAAGAAGGACAAAAGTATTCTTCACAAAAAAAGAAATACCTATGCGGAGCTATTCACCATTCATTACTTGTTTTACTAGCATCAGCTTCAGCTGTGTTGATTGTAGTTTATTGTAGAGGAGGTGTAATCAGCTCATTCAGCTGGGTGTTTCTGACTCTTTGTAGGGGTTATTGGTTATACAGTAAATCCAACTATAGGATATATGAATAAATTGAGTTATAATAGTCATTTGTAACTAAAATGTCATTATTGAATGATTTTATTAGTAATCTAGATCAATAGACTACTTCTTTTACTGTACAGTGTTTTCATCGGGCCCTGACCCAGTCAGTGGTCGGTAATGATGAAACATTTGTTTCGAGACCTAAAGGTCTTAATTTCGACCCCTGAGGAATGCTAAAGAGTCCTGTACTAGGATGAAACATCTATCCAATACTTTCTAGTTGCCAATGGTACTTCTCTAGTGGATGCTATTTGCAAGATTGTTTATAAGTATTGTGTAGCGAAATGTGATGTCTGAGTTGCTACATTTGTCACACTAAGTGAAGAGTTTTAGTCGATCGAAAGTGTGGCGTTCGCAGAACACTTGGAGATCAGGCGACATGATATTTCAAATTTCATAACACACCTAGAGATGTGAATCGAAGATTGAAATCTATGTATCATATTATTATATAAATACTTTATAACTTCTTATAATAAATACAATCCTCCTGTCTATTGTCGTGTTCTACATTTCAACTAAAGTCAATCTGTGATGAACACATTCAGCCCCCTCCCCATCCACCTCAAAATACCTATGATCTGTTCATATAAGGAATTCTATACTGTAAATGTTTATAGTTCAAATCAATCGAATTGATGGATGTAATAACCTTAATGTGTTACTTAAATTTATTATTATTATTATTATCAAATTGTCAATCGTCATATAGCTTATCATGAATAACCTGTTATCATCAATGATGTATTTCAATTAATTACTTTCTAAGTGTTTCATTTCAATTAGTTATTCACATGATCTGTGAATTAGATTAGATCACATCATTACAAAACAATAAAATCAAATTTGTCCGATCAAACTTATTAAGATTATAATGTACATTGATGATACAAATGATACTGATCAGTTATTGTTATGTTATTGATAAATATGATTCTTTCTGAATGGTCGTAATGATGGTGATAGCTCAATTATGTCTTATTGATTAAACCGTGTAAGGTTTGAAACTGACTGTTTTTTACATGGTTTAATTAGGAGAATTTTTTGTCGGCTAATATTTGAACTTAGCAACAATTTCTATTTTTAGTAACCAATTTCTATTAGATTTGAGGGACTATTTTACTTTAAACAGTATTTATTTATTTTCTGACTTTTGAAAATTCTCATAAAACTTCTTTTACCATCTTTTTGTAGTACTGTGTCTTCTGGAGAAAGTGAACGAACTGTTTTTGATGTAAGTTTTGTTATCATAGGCTACAATTTATCGACCTGTTTTCTGTTTATTACCATTTCATACTTGTATTTATGGTATGTAGAAGAAAAAGAGTAAGCCTAATAATAATGATACTTACAACTGACGGATATTTATGGAGTATCGGATTGACAACAGATTATGGACGTTAATGGTGGTTTGTTGAAGAATTCATTAATGCTACGTCAAATAGATTTACCTCTCTGAATTATCGTGAAGTGCTGTATTACTTTTATTGTGATAAACATGATAGGTTCATCTAAAGAGTGTGAATTCCGTTACTTAGCTTATCACTGAACATCGGTGATACTACTCGGCTGTCCAAAATAGAGTAAATGGAGCAGAGTTCGGACATGCGACTTAGTGACTAAAAGTCAACTATTGAACCAGTATTTGATCTGTCCAGGTTTGAATGGTGGTTTATGATCTCAAGGAAATTTCTTATCATCATTCTCCGCAGATCAGTATTCATTCATCAATTATTCGTTTCACCTAGTTCTCCAAGTTTATTTATATCAGCTTTTTCTTTAATCCATGTATTTGCTAACTTTGCAACGTGAAATCCATATTCAATTACTTACTTACGCCTGTTAATCCTAATGGAGCATAGGCCGTAGACCAACATTCTCCAACCCATTCTGTCCTGGGCCTTCTTTTCTAGTTCCATCCAATTCTTGTTCATTTTTCTTATGTCTATTTCCATTTCTCGGCGTAATGTGATTTTCGGTGTTCCTCTTTTCCTTTGGCCCTGAGGATTCCATGTTATTGCTTGTCTTCTGACGCAGTTGGGTGCATTCCTCAATGTGTGTCCTATCCACTTCGAGCGTTTCTTCCACCGCTGGGATCTGGTTTGTTCTCTCTCACGTGAATCAACAGTTAATTTCTAAATGAATGTCAAGAATTAGGTTTGGAGAATAAATAATTGACTAATTGATTATGAAAGCCGAGTTCCATAGTCAATTAGTCAATTATTTAGTCTCCAAACCTAATTCTTGACATTCATTTAGAAATTAACCGTTGATTCACGTTTAATTTACTATTCATTCAATAGTTATTTCGAATTATGAATTTTTTTCTTTCGTTTCTATGTATAGTAATATGTGTGCCAATTATTTTGGAATATCCGTCTACTATCTCTCTCTCTCTCTCACACACACACTCTATCACTTATAAACATATACACATGTATACATCTTAGTAATTTTATCTGTTTACTTAATGTTTTGATCTGTCATGTTTACTCAGAATGCAGTACACCGGTTTGAATCAATGGATAGTCAAGATGAATCATCTTTAATGAGAACTAATAGTGTAAGCTTAATTATGTTTTGGTAAATGTAAATGATGAAAAAGTGTCTATTATTATCATTTAATGAAAGAATGATAGTTCAGTGAAGAATATTTGCTTTTCTATGATGAGATTTGGTAATGCTATACAATCGTGTTTGCACTTATACATCATACTCTATGATTGGTTGATTGGAAAATTCAAATGATCTAATGATTAAGCGCTCATTATGAGATATGAAGGTCTTGATTTAAATGCTCCTGTAAGGTCGAGAATGCACGCTACCGAGAGAGATTTCATACTCTTATGAAACAATGTCCGATGTTTCCTAGTTTTTAATGGTTGTCTAATTTAGGCTGGTTCATGGTCTCAATAATATAGAAGAGAGATATATGAAAGATAATTATCCGTTTTTGACGAATCTAAGAAAGAGAAGTGATGAACGTGTTTTAAAAATAATTAACAAAACTAACAGGGAGTGTTGAAACGATGTCAAATAAAAGATTAGACATACCATCCCTGTATATGGAGACTACACTTGACTCGATGAAATATCAAAGCCTACTATATGCACAAATTTTACATCCCGCTTCTCTTGGAAATTGGCCCGTTTGACTTTGTAAATAATTTTAAATGAAGATTCATTTAGAGGCAATTAGGTGCAAGTGTTCCGTTATAGACTTTATTTCTATTGTTGTTTTAACACAGATATCAAATACATACGCATCAAATACACATGCGCCACACAGATCTCATTTGATATGTGTGAGGGCTGTGATACTGCCTGGGTGCCCAAACTGAAGCAGGTGGCTTTCTTAGGAGGCCACACCCGGAGCCTTCGACCTGAAGGTCTGATCCACAAGGCAGTGGAGCATCGTAAGAAGATGCAGTCCCATGGAAGTCGGTGACCAACAATTGGTTCATGCGCCATTTGTTCCCTCAGGATACTGGAGCTCCGAACATTCGCTTTTCATCCTCTCAATTTCGCAAACAACACATTGGACGCGAGAATGCAGTGAGTAGGACTTCTCTTGCAGAGGCTACATACGCGTGTTCATGTGAGGGCATTTCGAGAGGGAGAGCGGACTCTCCGTCATAGAACTGTAAATTGATTAGGACTTAGCTTTAGATAACTGTACTAGGTAATGTTTCATTATGCGCTTAGATAGTGGACGTTTCGTGCAGCCAGTATATCATGTTCCATATTTAGGTGGCTTGAAATAGAGTTTATCATTAATACATCTTTAGATCAGGTATGTACTGGAAAATACAATATGTGGCTTAGCTAAATAAAATATCCTTTAAATTAGCTAAATATTCGGTGTTCAAGACTTCTGCAGCTGTTTTTCCTTTCAACTTCGTGTTCTGGCTTCATGTTTTTGTAAATGGACTTGAGAGTAAAGATTATGTCGGTCAGCGGCTGTCATCATCTATTATGTCCTTGATTTGTCTACCCAATAATATACATGGGAGAACTTATTTTGATCTAGGTTAAGGCCTTTAGATGATAGGTTAACTGGTTTAACTGTGAGGCTAAAAATAAGTGAGTTCGAGTCGAGACTAACCACCTTGGGCAGAGAGATGAAAACTATTCTGTCATTTGGTTGGTTAACAAGCGAGAGAAAAGACACGTTGACTGGAGCACTTCTTGATTTATTCCCGATTCAGATTAGTGTAAAAGGATACATGAATAAATAACTGACTACCTACGATCACAACGTACAAACAATTAGAAAATACGATTATGTCCAAAGTGGGCATTAGGATAGGAAAATGGAGTACCAAAGGTTACGCTTAAATTACAATAACTTTGGAACAAAAAAAGGCTATGACATCAAATGAAAGCTTATAATTTGTAGAATAAACTGGGCACAAAACTAAATGCTAGTGTTTTACAAACCTTGAACTAAGGAGTTATTTCATTATAGTTTAAAATTACTAAGTCAATTGTTACCAAGGATCTAACTCAGGTTTCATGGTGTATGCATCATCTTTAAAATCCCAGTTTCGAAATTCGATCATTTGATGTTTATAGAACATCGTTTATCTCCAGTACGATGGACGATGATATATTGTGTTTGTTCAGTTAGCGTTCATTAAAGTCTTCCTTTAATGTTCATTACTCTCATTGAACAATTACTGACATTTTCCTTCTTTTAATATTCATAAGCTTCTGAAGTATCAAGGTCATAAGTAAACCTATAAATATTCTTATTTTCTATGGTTGTAATAGCCTTGGACGTGTAACGTTTTTTCCATATTTCTTGCCTTATTTCTTATGGTTAAAAGTGAAATGTAAAATACGTCTATTGGACTAAAGAATGATTAAGAATTCAAAGTTTCGTATACCAGACGTATTAATCTCACTGATCGACAATATAGATTCCGAAATTTATCAACTTTATTTCAGTTTCATATCAAGATTGGTTTTACTAGTTACAATGGAAGATGGTCGCGCAATTTCGTGGATTGTTTGAGGTTAGACATCAACATCATTGGTTGCCGGTCGGTCCAGTGGTCTAAAGGTTAAGCGTTCGCGTGCGAGACCGTAGGCCCTGTGTTCGAATCCCGCGAGCGGGATCGTAGATGCGCACTACTGAGGAGTCCCACTATAGGACAAAACGACTGTCCAGTGCTTCCACTTTCCCAATACTGGTATAACATCAATCGGTTCATGATCTCAATCAAAAACTTAATAATCTCCATAACCCTATGCTGATAATTAAATTAAATATGTTCATTTAAGTTTCGTGTACCCGCTGATGATCATTGTTTTACCCTATTTATTATAATAGATATCAGTTACACTAAAAGAATGGGATATACCAATGGAAAATCTATTTATTGGTGAAATAATTGGACGTGGTAAATTTGGTACAGTATATCGTGGTAAATGGCACGGTGAAGTAGCTATTAAACGTATAGATTTCGATCCAGAAGATGTAGATGATTCAATACGTGTTGAAGCGTTTAAACGTGAAGTTGCATTACTACATAAAACACGTCATGAAAACTTAGTACTATTTATGGGTGCTTGTATGAAAGCACCTGATTTAGCTATTGTTACACAACTTAGTCGAGTAAGTGTTTTATTTCTGTGTATGTCCCTGTATTTGTATCTTACTTTCTGTTTTACTTTTAAGGAATTTTTATAATGTTAAGCAGTTGGAAGTAGTTAGTAGAAAATCATGAACCTAGTGTAGTGGATGCTACTTACAAGATTGTTTGTAAGTATTGTGTAACGGAACGTTGATACATTTGTCAGACAGAGTGAAGAGTTTCACTTCATCGAATGTACGGCGTTGGCGGAACACTTAGAGACCAAGCGAGAAGACATTTCAAATTTCATAACACACCTAGAGATGTGAATCAAAGATTGAAAGCTATGCATAGTGTATTATATAAATACTTTATAACTTCTTATAATAAATACATTCCTCTTGCCTATTAGTCGTTTGTTACACTAGGCTGCTCTCAAGAGGTCACTCATTAGCGAGGTGTGCCTGGTATTTAATGGGAACTGATGCTTCTTGTGTTATCCGAATGTACATCAATCAGTTTCATATTTAGAAATGTTACCACTGATCTGATATTTTGTAGTGCTGAAGTACATTAGTTGATCACTATCTAAGTGATGCCGATTCAAATTTTACAAGAAACACTAGTTCCTAAAAATTGCAGGTGCGGTTTGTTGACGAGTAGGAACTAGCAACTATATCGAACAAGGTTTACTACCTAACGTGAAAACATAATACACGTGATGTTGAGTCACTTGCACTTGTAGTCATATTGTAACTAAGTCGATAGAATCTTAAAAACTGTAAATTTGACAAAAATGATATTGGCCTCCACTGAATTAAGATCAGTATCCTATTGATAAAAATTCAGCTAGAAATCAATGTGTAACTTATTTTGAAAAACAGATTTCTCTGTTCCTCTCTTTCTTTCTGTCTGTTCTGAAAAAACCTTGATTGATTGTGCTGGTAAATGTTGTAGCGATAAAACTGCAGTTGGTATTGGTTATGACAGGATTATATTCATGTCTACAGGAGAATTCAAGTTGCCAGCTTTACAGAAATGTAAAAAGTAGTAATGTTTCCGCTGAAGTTGTTTAGTATTTGCTATCCTATTTGGGGGAAGGTCGCAGGAAAACTTGACCCTGTAATCTGCATATTGAACTTCGCCTCCAAATCTCTTTTAAAGCAGAAGGGTGCACACGATTTTGTTACACACTCATAGAACTCCATATTTTCAAACAAACAGAACCGGGATTTTTATGGTGGACATAACATGTTTTTCCAGTTATGTGAAGGAACTGTCAGTTTCACCAAGAACTAAACAAGTGAATTTAAATTAAACACTTACCATTCTAGTACAACCCATTGTTATTCGATCTGCTCATTTTTTGGCATCTCCCTTGAAACTAAAAACATCAAAATGAGTTCTAATTGTTTCGAACCATCGCCAAAACTCTAACCATTGATACTATCTTAAAGAGTTTATTTATTTATTTAAACATGAACATTGGTACAACGAGGCACCAAACAGATATGCGCCACATAAATCATTGGGCATTTGTGAGGACTGAGATACTGCTCGGGTGCCCAAAACGAAGCAGGTGGTTTTCTTAGGGGGCCACACTCATTATAGTTTGTCTTTATTATTATTATCGCTATCAGTATTTTGATCAGCATGATTACAATACTATCCGATAAAAATTCTTGAATATTTTAAAGATGGATAGTGGCCAGCAGTGGAATCCAGGACGCGTGTTTCGTCCTGTTTGGGACTCGTCAGGTGGATGTACCTGCATTTCAGAGTTGAGGTCCACTCTGGAACTCGAACCCAGTACCGTTCGCTCCAAACGCCATCGCGTTATCCGCTGAGCCACTGAGTTCTGATAGCCACTTGCTTGTGCAATGGGTTGAAGTTTAATTCACTTGAAATTGTTATACTTGAATCTTCCCATTGATGTTTTAGGACTGAAATTGATCAGTCTCTTATTGACATATGTGGATACTGTGCGTATGCCTCGATATTGCCTTAATTTACAAGCATTATAAGCAAAGATGGATAGTGGCTAGCAGTGGAATTCAGGACGCGCGTTTCGTCTTGTATGGGACTCGTCAAATTGTAAATTAAGTCAATATGGAAGCATGCGCACAGTATGCACATATGCCAATAAGAGACTGATCAATTTCAGTCCTGAAACATCAATGGGAAGATTGAAGTAAAACAATTTCAAGTGTCTTAAATATTTTGTTGAAACTCATAGTGTCACCTTCAATCATATAGCGATTGTTTCTTTGATTTATATTTGCCCCTCAAAAAAACCATTATGAGTAGCCATTTTTGAAGACTTTCTTAGATAACAAGAATATCATGTTTTCAGTTTTCAATTGTTTGAATGTGCAATTGACGACTCCAATATGTACGGGACTCTTTTACTCGATGTTCTCAATCTTCTGCTTGTAGGCTTTGCACTATTAATCAGTAATATTACTAATCATATCCACTAACATAAGTAGCATACACCAAAGTACCTACAATAATACTACGACAAAAACCACTACCGTTGTAGTGGACGCTACTCATAATAACGCCTATACGTAGTAGGAAGCTGGAACGTGACTTCAAAGTTTTCACAGACTTCTGATAGCACGAATAGTTTCTGAACATCGAAAGCACGGCCTAGGCAGAACTGTTGGAGACCATTTAAAACCAATTTTGAATAGCTGAAACATTGTAAAATACAAACTGATTATGAAGTTTATGTGTGCGTTATGTGGATGGTTTGTGATAACACATAACACATATAGACGTTTTCCATATTGTTTACCTCTAGTTAATTAAAATACTACTACTAGTAACATTGCTATTCACACTACATATACGGATACAACAACTATAGGAACAACTACGACTACCTATACCAATACCTTTACTAATACTGCGACTGTGGTGTAAGCTACTTACATCTGCATAAGTAGTTTATAGCGATAATCAGGCATAGAATGTATTTCAGTATAAGAATGGAAACTGAAAGCAATTGGTATTAAAATGTATGAACAATGAAATCTGAGATAATTGACTAATATTTGCAGAAGGAACAGTCAAGTTTGAGACAATGAATTATTATTTTTCAAATTAACTATTTATGATATGGTTCACAGATTTTAGTGAAATATTCTGTAGTGTAGTGCTTAAATAGATTCGATCGCTACACTCGTGGTCTGTTTATTACACTACTATTACAACCATTACTAAATGAACTATTACAATTGGTGCTATTACTACTACTAACACAATTTGATGACTTATAGCGACTCACGTACAAATGGGTTTGTTCACATTTAACTTGGTTAAGTCCTTTTGTTAACTTATTTAACGAACCGAGTCATTCTTACAATAACCACTTATGTGTATCATTGTACCTTCATTATTGTCGGGAATGTATATATATATATATATATATATATATATATATATATATCATTTTTGAGTTCATATATTATTTGGTCTACCAAACTATTGTGTACACCACTTTAACCATTACTGGGATTTCTACTACTATCCACAACAAAAATACTACATCTATTATGAACAAAGACGTGGTTAGAATAAAACAAATCATTCAACACACGACTGGTTCATTTTCATTAAATTCTTTAAATCACATTTACTGTCTTTTAGTTATTAAAATAGGGTTTGTGATGATTGTATTACCAGTTAATTAAAATATATTTATTACTTCGATGTGATTGTCAATCTTCAGTATACAACAATGCAAAGAACTGTGAAAGGATTCTGATATCCAGCCGAAAGTATAAATTACTCAATGAATCGATCTGGAGTGTAGGTGTATGTTTCTTCTGAGAGTCTTGTGAATGTCTGAATTATTCTGGTGTAAATCTTTCTATTGTAGGCTTGATAACATCATCTGGCTTCGAACACTTCAAAAACAGTTCTTATTGACATATTCTAGCTTAAGCTTGATTTCAATCACGAGTTCACTTAGTATGCGAACGGAACACAGACTTGTGACCGAAGACAAATAAGCTAGATGTTCTGATGCGTCTCAGACCCGCTAGCTAGAGAGAGAAGTTGAAATTTGGAACGGAGGAGTATATTCCGTAAATTCAGAAGTACGAACGATAACAACGGGCACAAATCAAACTTATATATATATACAACATAGAACTGTCATTAGGAAGCGTTGCAAAATGGCATAGTAAAATAAACAACAGACCAAAGGCGGTAAAGATTCTCTCAAGTGGGAAATACGACATGAAGGTGAAACGAGTGCATTTGGCTCAAAAACAATGAAATTCGAATTCACAAAGTAAAATTACAAAATGAAAGTATTTACCAAGTGAAATTTGAGGATCTTACATCTTAAACGATTGTAAAGGAATATCCGAGCACTACGCTGTATGATTATCCAATGGGATATATTGATAAGTCAACAATTCAGTTCTCAAAGACAGTCATTTCAGACCACACATTTAGCGTATCTGCGTTCCAGTTACACAGCAAAATGAAAAAACTGGCTAGAAAAAAGTTTAATTGAATTGATTTTGTATCATCGAAACTATAGTAATTAACCACTTCAAATCCCGAGTTTGTACACAGACGAGTCTCGCTAAATCGCTTATTCATCATTGGTCATATGAATCCATCGAATTTGACAAAATAGAATAGTTAACTATGACCTAATACTAATTCTTCTTCTCTCTATCCTTGAGTGCGTAGTTATATTCATCTTTTGTTTCACAGATTATTGTATTTGTTTCTACCAAAACTATTAAACAACGTAGGCTCTTGATGAGTGCTTCCAACGTTAACAAATAATGCACCACGTTACATTCAGTACATAAAAACGTAAGTTACGAAGAGGTAACACCCTTACTATACTACTCGAAACACTTGGAGATTTTGTTTATCACGAATAGATGTGGGCAACATCACTTCAGTTTGATCGAACCTAGCTGTGGTAAATTTGAATATCTTTGATAATTTTGCAACATTCATCTATTTTATCGCATAATATTACATGGAAAAGTATTGACTGAAAATACTAC